GTAATACACACATAGGGTAATATATATATAATGAAGAATGATACAAATATATATGGCAACCAAATATAAATATAGTAAATAGAAGATATTATTTAAAACAATATCAACAATATCAAACAATAGCAAAAGTCTATGTTTCCCTAATTACCATAAAATGCAATATGTTTAACACTCCCCCTCAAGCTGGTGCATATAAATTATATGTACAAGCTTCATATAAATATAATCAATTCTCGGTCCCCCTAAAAACTTGGGGAAAATATTTGCTATTTGATCATTTGAGTTAGCAAACTCAGTCTTGATGTCTCTAGATACAATCTTTTCTCAAATGAAATGATAGTCAATCTCAATGTGTTTGGTCCTTTCATGAAAGACAAAATTAAAATTGATATGAAGAGCTGCCTGATTGTCACATACAAGTGTCATTTGAGTGACATCTCCAAATTGTAACTCTCTAAACAATTGCTTAAGCCAAACAAGTTCACAAGTGGATGAGGCCATAGCTCTATATTCTGCATGTGCACTAGATCTTGCCATAACACTTTGTTTCTTGTTCTTCCAAGAAATCAAGTTCCACCAATGGAGACATATGTGTTAATCAAGTCCTTAAGGGAATCTTAGATTGAGTTTATATGTTCCAAGCTTGGGACATATAATTTGTATGCTCTAGGTTGAGGGGAAGTGTTGAAATAAGTAATAAGTAGTACATTGGGAACCATTTATCTGCTATAATCACGATTAGTACCTAGTCTTGTACCTAGAAGTCTATTGCGCTCTCTGAGTTGTACCTAGGAATCTAGGGTAGTCTTTTGATCTTTCATCTTCCATTGTATTTGTTTCTATCATTATAAATAGAAATTGTACCTAGAAGTCTATTGCGCTCTCTGAATTGTACCTAGGAATCTAGGGTAGTCTTTTGATCTTTCATCTTCCATTGTATTTGTTTCTATCATGATAAACAGAAGATTAAAAGAGAGATCTGGTAAGGCCTCCAATTTTATAATCTCTTTTTATTCTCAACTATAAACTTTGTAAACATGACTTGTAACCTTGACTCAAACCGAAGAGTTTTCTCCATATAAAAATAACGTTAAAATATGTATATTATATTGAAATACTCCCAGATCTAAAACTTAAACTGTAAACGGCAAGATAATTGTGAAATATACTGTAAATTTCCAAAATTTTAAATCTTGAAATTAATACTCAATATATCAGCATTTATAGATGAAAAAGAGAGACAGGAATCAGGCTTGTCAGCAGTTTTCAGCTTCTACTTGCTGCTCTGTTTGAATCAGGCTTGTATGTGATCATAGCTTATATAATAACTTTTAGTTATTACAACTTTCTAATCTAATTTCTTTCCTTAAATAAAATAATATGATACAATTAGATGAAAATAACCGCATGTATCATTGCAAAATTGGTTTCTTATATAGTGGATGAATATAACTTGGATACCAAAAGATTTTCTGTTTGGTATTATACTAAGGAACTTGTAAGTCACTACTGACAGTACTTGGGAAAAAAGCAGTTCTTATTCTCCTTTCCCTTTGAAAGTAAGGGTAATATAATGTTACTCTGTCTGAAGCAATGTATTAAAAGCTGTGAAAGTTGTTCATTTTAAAATCAACAGGAATTTGGGTAGATTCCATAGAATGTTTGATTTAGTTTTCTGAGAGCACTGCTACAAGTGAGCATGAGACCTAACAAAATTAATTAAAACAACAATTCTGGTTGGGAGACATCATTCTCAAAAGGATGCATTTGAGGTACTTGAAAAGATGCATTGAAAATTTATTTCAGCATGAGATTTATTTAACTTATTTAATATTTTGTCCTTTATAGGAAAAGAAGGAATGAAGTATTTTAATATTTTCTAATAGTATGTTTAGGACTACAAAATCTGTTTTTCTGTGTTAGAAAAAAGTTAGTCTGCATTTAGAACGTTCACATTGTTTTGTACAAAATATTGAGTTCTACTGAAAGCTAATCTCTGATTTCTTCTGTATAGTCTCATATTATATAGAACTATATAATCTAGTAGTTCACATTTTAATATAATAGAACAGTTAGAAGAAGACTTGTAGATAAAGTCTTAAGGTTACATCATCCCAAAATGGTTGTAATTTAAAACTTTAACACAATAGAGTATTTCAAAATAAACAGAAGCCTATGGATTCTAACTAGGCTAAGCAGCGGCGTCATCTCCCTCCAAGGCCTACTCCAGAAGTACCTCATCTACCTCTGCTCACATCCAAATGGATGATCATTACAACAGAAAACACAACACAAACAAAAGACAAACATAAGCAGAAGGGTGAGCTAGATATACAAAAATCATGTTATAACAATCACACACAACACACAAGTTTAATTCATATATACTGGGCCACTTAACACAACTTGTTACACTAAACTTGACTCGTCCAGACTTAGAATGATTGCCGAGCTATGGCGGGTCATGCACTCGTGGTGGCTTCTACTGCTTTGCAAAGCCGTTGCCAATGGGTTTCACCCTACCACACTCACGAGGTTAGTTCGTTATCACTCACCTTGGGCCATACTGGAAGCACCCAAGACTAGGACCTGCTGCTACTCCTCACCACATGATCAATCCTCTCTACTTGAGAATGAAAGACCATTGGAGCATCAGGATAACCTCCACAAGACTGAACTACCATGCAAATCATTCTAAACACTAAGGGCACTACCATGAATCTTCTCCTTGAAGATCATGGAATTACGTCCAATAACATAGAGCACCACCATGTAACCTCCCTTTGAGATCCATGGAATTACGTCCATCAACCATACTTTTAAAACCACATACTTTCAATCACTTTGAATCACCATTCATACCTTTGAATCACATACACTTTCACTTAAACAATATACAACATGTTTGAATCCCATCATACAATATAATATGCTCCCACACATACTTCACAAACCATACAACATTCAACTCTATATGAAACAATACAAAAGAGAAGATAGAAAATAAAACCCTGAACGTCTCGCACAACGCACCCCTTTGCACAGTGAGACTGAGAGTGTTTCTCACAACGCACACTATTCACATGACGAATTAACTCACAGAGGTGCCATACCTCATGCCTCTCGCATAGGGCACCCTAGTCGCTATGCGAGAGCTCAAACAGAGACCAACCCCCTTAAAACTCTCGCTTTGCACCCAATTCGCCTTTCAAATTAAACTGGCAGTGACTCCAGGCCACCACCAGTCGCATAGCGACCAGATTCGCTATGCGAATCACCAGACAGAGAGCAGCACCCTCCAGTCATTCGCACAGCGCACCAGCTCGCACAACGAATTACTCAAACAGAGAGCACTCTCTGCAGGGACTCGCTATGCGAGACAATTCGCATAGCGACTCTGCATCATTTGTAGAACGCAAATTCTGCAGAATTATGCACTCACACACCCCTTACCATTTCTAGGCCTTTTCTCCAATTTTTAACACCCCTAATTCATGTTTTACACCTAATTAGACTTGTCTAGGTGTTCCTAAACCTTCCTAATACAATTTTAAGGTGATTACAACTCAACTTTTACTCCTCAACATCAGTTTTCACCACTTGAGGACCCCAGTCCCAATTCTAACACTTTGCACCTATTTGGACCACTTTGGTGACTTAAACAAGTCACAATACACTTGCTAAGACTGTCCCAACAGACCACAATAGCCCATGACCTCTAACTCTCAAAATCACTACCTCACTTCCTCTATAATAACCTAAAACACTACCAATCCTCTTTACTTTCAACATAACAACTGCTATCTCAGAATATACCCATCTAACATCCTCAATTGCAGTCACACAGCACGTTTAAATCAATTCACAAGCATCAGTTCACAGATTCATAGATGAACATACCAATACATATCATTTCATCTACTCAAAACTTAATATACAACAACCCAAACAACAGAATAATGCATAAATCAGTCCATACACCTAACATACAACAAATTATAAGAAAGTATTCTAGCTTCCTTTACCTTGGAGTTGAACAACCCAGCTCACAACACCGCTTCCATAGTTCCCTACTCGGCGAAGAACCTAAACAGTGCCCAGCCTAGGACCCAAAATGAATTGGTCAATTGTGAAGCCCTCTACGTTGCGGATGTTTGGGCGCCACCTGATCGGAAATCCACTGGCTCAGTGAAGAGAAATGGTAGAGAGAAGACAGAGATGTGATAGAGAGAAGATAGAGAAACCTGAAGAACTGAGACTTTAGAGAGATAGTGGGAGTAGGCTAATGAACCAGATTTGTTCAGAAATCTATTTTATACTAAAATAAAAAATCTGGTTCTATTAGTCTAATACACTAACCCATTCTTTTAAATCCCAAATTTTGGGTTCTCACATCTTCCATAGTGACCCCGTCCCCCCCAATAACGTGAAGGCTATGAATTCAAATCTGTTTCCAGTTAAAAATTGTATTCAAAATTTTGGTGAGAAGAATAGATAAAAAAGTTTTATCTGCATGGTTATGCAGTTATATAGCAATTACTGAATTTAAACATCAGAATTGTTACATGTTATATAATAATATTGGAAGTTTCAGAAAGTAATGCAAGTCAAGCGTTAAACTTATTTCCCATCCTCCAGCAGGACATTGGATCTTTTCTAGTATTGTCAGTGGCTGAGCTGGGTTGGACCAGTGTTTTCTTTTCTTTTCATTCTGGGGTGATTTGGTGGGTTTTGGTCAGTGGCTGAGCTAGCCATTAATACGATCATGGTTGACTGGGGGGATACTTAAAGAAAAACACTATGTAACAAATAGTGGATTTAAAAAAAAAAAAATTTAAGATATGACTCCCTCCTTAGCCTTGGTGCTTGATAAGTTGATAACAATACTCTTAAAATATCCATAATTTAGAAAACATGGGCTAGTAAGATAATAATATATTATTTAGAAGTTGTCTACCTTTAGTAACTTTGTAGTTGTGTTATCTTGACTCTTTTTGTAGACATACGAACGATCTTGTATAAAGAAATGGCTTGAAGCAGGGCATGGAACTTGTCCCAAGACTCAGCAGATTCTTTCCACTCCCATCCTCATACCCAACCATGCTTTATATGGCCTGATATCAAGTTGGTGTGAGGCAAATGGAGTGGAACCACCTAAAAGGTTAGGGAATTTATGGCTCTGTAAGACAACATCGGATGGATCTTCTGAATTAGTGGATCTTGATATCTTAGTGAGCAAACTTTCTTCCAGAGGTATTGAGGATCGACGAAATGCTGTAGGTGAGCATTGTATCGCATACATTTATTCTCTTCCTCTCTCTCTTTCTCTCTCTCTCTCTCTCTCTCTCTCTCTCTTCACAATACATTTGTCATTGTGGTTTAAGTGGTGGGATTGCTAGCTGTTAGAGTGATTGCAACATAACTTATAAAATTAGTAATTTTGAGATTAGTGGAAAATTTGTAATCAAGAAAATTGAGAGGACTATTTTTTGTTGATGCATACCAATGTTAATCTTTGATGTCTGCAAAATCTAATATGATGAAAATATGAAGTAGAAGATAAGATGAAAGTAATCTATCGCATGAAAGCTAGAATCTAGTATTTGGATGAAGTATAAAGTTTGATTAAAACAAACAATCAATATGATAGGATTGCATTATGTTTCTATTTTCCTTCTTTCAGAAAGGAAGTATAACATGCTAAACAGACCTTTAATTTATTCTGCATTAATTAAGAATACGTGAATATGAGTACTACTATTGAAGCTATAAAAGAAAATATGAAAAATTAGTGAAATACCCTTAGAACTGGAAGTTTAGAATTAAATAAAATATGGCTTACCACATACTGTACTTATTGTTTCCACAACGTAATGTTGATTGGCTATGGTGTTTCGGATTTGGAGTATCGTTAGAACCATCTGTAATTTAAACCAAAACATTAAGATGATTTTGATTGTAAGGCTTCTCTTCAGTAATCTTCTGAAGAGCTACAAATATGAAAAAAGTAAATGAAGGATAAAGAATTAAAGGGTTACAATACAACCAAGTTTTTAATAAAATCACTTTGAAGTTAGGGCAAGGTATTTTCAGTGGTTACACCTAATGTTTTCTTAAGTGTTTTTTAGCCTTACACATTGGACTATCTTCTATCTGATCCACTTTTTTTCAAATGGTATATCTCACACCACTAGACCACCTTAGGCAAGTTTTCATTATCTTCTCAATAGGTATTAGTCCAACTTGGTATTGGATAAATTAATTCCTGATGTTATCTTTATTGTATTTCCCTCATTGCTTCAGGATTCTTATCTTCAATACACTAATTATTTTGCATACTAGGCCCTTCATTACCCAAAATTCAGTACCGCACCACTGGTCCTACAGCTGTCTGGTATAATTTTCTGTTGAGTTTCTTCAGCAGTTAGGCACATTATGACCATAAAATCAAATTGGTTCCTCGATATGCTGGTATGTGTTAATCTACCACAATTTACTTTTTCCCTTAGTTTCATAACGTGGATCCAAAACACAAGTTTGGCTCCTATCCTATCTAGTTTGCTTAGTTTTGTAATTGTATGTCTCTTTTATTCTTGTAAATAGGTACCAAAGTTCTTTTTGGTACTCCATTTTACATTTTCTTAGACCTCATTTTTGCGTTGAACAACTTCAAAACTTTTACATATCTAACTTAAATATTTCCATCCTTTAATTGTTCGATAGGTATATGATCTGGCAAATTTACTTTTCATCTTCTTTTACCATGTCACTTACCCAAAGTTCTCTAATATTGTGGTAGGTTTAATTTAGGTTATCCTTTCTAGTGCTAAAACTCCTCAAAGTCCATTATTCTTATATATTAATCATTGAATAAACTTTAGAAACAACTCTTCCATCATTCCACGATATCATGCTTAGTTAACAAAACATTTTCATCTCTGTTATTGTATTTTACTCTTTCTTTCTCTTCCGAGGCATGTTTGTATATAACCCACCCAATTTTTGTGCCTAAAGATTGATATTACTTCACAACCTTCAGCTTTCGTTTTCTTTGTTTTAGCTTTATTGTTTCCCGTGATTTTAGCACTTCCAAAAGCAATGTTGTCTGTTCTTATACATAGTTCTTATACATAGTTCTTATATATAGTTCTTTTATATATATATATATATTAATTTTGCTGGCGGGGGTTATTTTACTTAAAAAGGAATTTGTTATGTGCTTTTATTTATAGCATGATTTAATGCTAGGATGTACCATTCTCAGAATTGCACTTCTCTCCATATTTCCCAGTATGATGTCAGCTACAACTGGTGGCCGGGTGAACTTCTTGCTAGGTTTAATGAATATAGACAGAATCTAGCTAATATAAATTATGTGAGCTAAGTGCACAGAGGTATAATTGTATACTAACAACTAGATTTAAGAAAGCATCACAAATTTATAATTTCTTTTGGCATTCTGGGAGTAGACTAAATAAAAGTATAGGATGAGATGGTGTTCCCTTTCTAAATTCAATATGCCGTAAGCCTTAGTAGTATCAAACCCAAGACCCATCTGTCTATGCAGTTCAATCCTACAAATGAAGAGATCGTAAATGTGTTTTCAGAGGATTTTTACTTTGCCTTTTGACATTGCTTTAGTTTGAGGAAATGCATTTTTATAGACCTCTAAAATTCTCACCCTTGTATTTCCTATTAATGTTGTATGTTGATAGGACTTCCTTTATCCTCATTGTACTGCAGGGGAGGTCCGACTTCTTGCCAAGCAAAATAGTCAAAATAGAATGCTGATTGCCGAAGCTGGTGCTATACCTCGCCTTGTTGGTCTCCTCTACACACCTGATGCTGGCATCCAAGAGCATGCAGTTACTGCTCTTCTGAACTTGTCTATCTATGCGGACAATAAAGAGCGTATCATGGCTTCTGAGGCTGTGCCAGGCATCCTTCATGTGCTAGAAAATGGTAGTATGGCAGCCCGAGAAAATGCAGCAGCCACCTTTTTCAGCCTTTCTGCGGTGGATGAGAACAGAGTAGCAATTGGTGCATCTGGAGCAATCCAGGCATTAGTTACTCTATTTTGCGAGGGAAGTACAAGAGGGAAGTTGGATGCTGCAAAAGCACTTTTCAATCTGTGTTTATCTCAAGGAAATAAAGGACGGGCAATTAGGGCTGGTATTGGGCCCAAGTTGATAGAAATGCTAATAGAACCTGATGGGGCAATGCGGGACGAAGCATTGGCAATAATGGCTATAATAGCTGGTCATCCCGATGGAAAAGCAGCAATTGGATCTTTGAATGTTGTATCCACTTTGGTGGAATTAGTCAGCAATGGATCTCCCAGGAACAAAGAGAATGCAACTTCAGTGTTGGTTCTCCTCTGTCATGGAGATCCTCTAAACTTGTCAATTGTCAATTCGCCTAGGGTGATCAATATTCTCTCGGACTTGAAAGAAAAAGGTTCAGAAAGGGCCAGGCGGAAAGCTGGCCAGCTTCTTGAGTTAATAGGAAATCATTGTGAACATACTATGAAAACTTCTAACTAGATTTTAGGTGCATCTGTTGTCATTTTAAGTTACAGCAGCAGCACGGTTTGTGATCAAAGATATGATTTATACTATAGGATACTAGTATAGAATCCCCAATATTTCCTTTTGATTTTTAGTTTAAAGGAAATTTCAATTTACTCTACTAATTATATAGCTGAATTGAAACAGTTGTGCTGTAAAGCTTGCAAGAAGTGTTAAGGTGTCTGTTCGACACACTTGAAATACGGATATTTGTTGACATGAGAAAAAAATTATATACTTCATCCGAACTCCTACTGACATCTCTTTTTCCCAATGAAATGTCTTGAATAGTTGTTCAGTCTCATGTTTCAGTCTATCACTTGTGATCCAAGATTCTTGTCTTTCGGTGGTGAGTCCCAATTACCCATCTTGATCCAAAAGGCTACAATATTAAAATATGTTTCCCTTTCTTTGTGGGAGTGCAAGTTTTTTTATGCATGTCATATCAGGAAAGATACATGTCTCGATGTCGATTTCCACAAAGATATGGTAAAATCATTGTAGGTAATGGAGGCATGGTTACGTGATTCATTATTCCTGGTTAGGATTCCCTTATAACACTTTCTTCTTTTGTTTTGGGTGATGTCATTATTCTCACAAAAAATGTATTTAAGAAAAAGGAAACGGGCCAGGATGTGGAAATTGCGAAAAGACAGGTATTACGTAATGTGAAATAACAGTTGCAGAGGGACCATGAAGGATGATGGTGTGTACTAAAACATTATCATGAAAAACAGTGAAGCAGGTACTTGAGGTTGTTAGAAGGAGGTGAAGGATAAAGAAGGGTTGGCGTGTGTTGCAATTGCAAAGGTGAATCAGCATGGTGGTGAAAGAGACACACTGCCACTACATAGACCAGGAATCAAGAAGACAGTAACTGGATAGGAACGTCTTCCAACATTATTAGTTTGCCAAATTTGTGGCTGTCTTCCCTTTCAAACTAATTTCATTTTCCACAATGCATGCATCATCTCATTAACAAACCCACATCTTCATGCCTTTTGGATTATGACCAAAACCCACTTCGTGCAACCCTCCTAATAATGTTCTTCTTTATTTGGCTCATCATACTTTAAAAATTTTCCTACTTTTAGGTTTATTTACTCATTTTTTGTTTTAGAATTATGAAACTTCTATTTTTTAGGCTTCATACCTGAAAATCATTATTTTTTCTTTTTACGCATAATTTTTAATCTTTTTTAGCCCTTATGAATGTTATTTCAATTTTTTTTCTCTTTTATATAAATTAACAGAGACTAATATTATAATTAAATATTATAGATGTTATATACAATCAGTTATTTAGTTTTCAGATATTCTAGATATTCAGTTATTATGTTTCCTTTTATACTCAGTTTGTCGGTGTTTTGTTTATTATTTTATTCTAATAACTAAAACAGATTCAAAATTATATGTTTAAGGGGTAAAAGAAATGAGTTAAGTACACAAATTAAGAAGTTAAATTTTATATAATTATAAAGACTAAATAAATTATTAACCTTGTTTTTCATAGTTCAACCAAACAAAGTAACTTTGTTTATTTTGATTTTAGGTAGAAGTAGAAATTTGCTAGGATGATCATATGATATTACATGGGATCAGAGTAAAATAATATATCAAATTTCCTAACAAACAAGTATTTTAAAATATAAGTAAATATTAATAAAAGAAGAAATGAAGAAGCTTCACTAAAATTATGTTTAATTAGGTAAATAATGAACATATCATTAATATTAATGGAACTTACTTAGTTCTTAAGTAAGAATCTGGGTTTGAACTATGTAGATGGAAAAAATGTGGTTGGAAGAGTATATCCTAGTCTAATTAGTTTCTCCAACATTTTCGTACCAATAAAACTATTATAAAAGACCAATGATACAGTTTTAACAAATCTTTTAAATATATATCAAATGTTTATTGAATTTACTCCCTATCAATGACAAAACAGAGAACAATATAAAGTTAAAAGAAGAGAGTTTACTCCGTAATTCTTCATATTGAATATATAAATTAATAAAAAAAGAGAGAAACATTGCATTTTCAATATCTCAAATTCAAATTCAAGTTAAGAGATTGCTAGACATACTCTTCAATATTTTTTTCAAATCCTTTACCTTTTCTTAATTTTTTTTTTCCTTTTCTCCCTCACTCCACTCCTTCTACTATTCCTCCTTCCTGTCATTTCTCTCTCACTAACATCTTTCTTTAGCGACCAAGTTGGCAAGTGTTTGAATATATTTAGATTATTTTTTAATAAACCAAAAGTAGTTTATACATAAGTTTAAAATAAGAAATTAGATGAGAAGATTTCTAGAAAAATTAGCCAACGTCTAACTTAAGAAAAAAATATTTTTATTTTTTTTAAGTTCTTGAGAAGGACTTTTTCCTCTTTGTAAAACTTGAGTGCTTTAATTCGGAATATCATAACAAGTGACCATCTTTGTAGCTACTATTTATTGAAAAGATTGCACATAATTTGAATAATCTGTTGACGGCCAATCTTCCTACTTTGCAATTAACGGCATGCTTAACAAATTGGAAAGGTGTTTTGGATAATATCAAAAGCAAAAAAGCACATAATGTAGGAGTACTTTAGCAATTAGAGGGGTACATTTAGTAGTTATCTTCAAGATTTTAACTCACCTTCTTTTAGTTTTACACCAAACAAAACCCAAGCAAAGAAGAAAAGATGAGCTACATTCACAAGTCACATAATAATGAAAATCATTATAAAACAATTAAATAAATGTTAGGAATAGAGAGCCAAAATATAATTTAGATTTTTTTTCAAACACAATTTATATATTTTAATAGGCTGAATGGGTAGGATCGACTCATTTTTGTAGTCTTAATTTTGAGACCCTGGTTTTATTTTAGTATAGTTATAATTTCAATGATATTCTAAAATCACGAACTAGACACACGTAAATAAAAATCCTCAAAAGAAAAAAAAACTTTTAATTGAAAATCCAAAAAATAGAGCTATTACAAGAGTTAGGAAAACGACATGCTACTTTGTTTTCTCTAAACAAAGAGATGTCACTTTTATGAAAGAGAAAAAAACCAAAAAAATATACCAAATGTTACCTTTAAAGTTGAATTAGAAGCGTATGATATTTTCTCATCTTGTGAGCTAAGCTCATTTTCCCAACACCCACTATACTCTTTTATTTTTCTCTCAACATACATTTCTATGAAATAGTGGCCTAACTTTTAATATTGATTCACATACTTTTAATTAGGAAAAAAAGGAAGAAAAAGTGAGAAGAATAAAATCTAATAATTTGTTTTTATCAATGCATGCATTCATGGATAAATTTCATTCTCCTCCACACTTTTTTTCGATTATCTTTTTGTTTTCCACATAAAGGTATAAAGTAAAAAAATACAATATGAAATGTTGCATTATCCGTTTTTATTGTCCATTTATGATAGAAAAGACGTAAAGTTATATTTACCCAGACACTTGGCTGTATTAGTATAGCACTTCTTCCTACCAATATGAAATCGTTTTCAAAATATGTTTAATATGTAAAAGGTTATTTTTATGTTAAAATAATTGAATAAACTCTATCCGTTTTACGAATGAATTTTATAGTTTTAATTTCCTTTTCCGATAAAAATTAATAGACCTTCTATATTAATGACTTTAGTTTCACTCAATTTGTAAAGAATGCCATCTATATTAATGAGTTTAGTTTAATTCATTTTTTAAAGTGCAAATACCTTTTATGTTAATGAGTTTAGTTTCGTTTATTTTGAAAAATAAAAGTGCAAATTTAAACTAACTCAAATCACAGTATTTTAATTAGTTCAATTCACGAGTTTTGCGGTCAAAAAATACCAAAAAACAATTTCTAAGGTTTTGAACCTAAGTTTCCAATAATTTTTTTTGCTTTGATATGTGATTATTACATGACTTGATGGTAATGTCACTAAATAATAGAAACTCGAAGTAATAGTATTAGAGGATCTGAAAACAATGTTTGTTCATCAAATGCAACTTTATTAGAAGGAAAACTTATCATAATTTGCATAATTAATTTTTTTTTATAGTATCAAAATTTAGAATGCTTAGAACATATGATCATAAGCATGATTATTAAGAAGATGAATTTGATCAATGGTCAAGATTAGATGCTTCATACGTAGTGAGAACTGAAAATGATAAGAAGTCATCAAGGAATGGCCTAAAGCTATTTGCATTGTTTAAAATATGTGAACATCAATATCGGAAGCAAAAATAATGTACTTTTATAAAAGAATTTAAATTTTTTTAAAATTAAGAATTTAAAGTGAACTAAAAGTTTTATGTTGGATAGAAATGAATAAAATATGTACTATATAAATAAAAATAACTCATAAATATATTATTTTAAGGTTTTAAATGGAAGATGGTGTCTTGAGTTTGTTCATGATTTATTAATGTTGATTTTTTTTTAATATTTTGTGGCAAAGGCTAGGTAACTTTAGTCAGATTGAATCATGGTACTTGGAATAACTCAAACTATCATTTATGACTTTAAATTTAAAGGTACATATTCGATATAATAATTAAATAAAATAACATGTGTTTCTTTTTCATTTTACAATAAGGAGAAAAAAAATTTCATGATATAATTTTATATAAGATAATGATATTAAAATATGTGTATGTGTTTTCAATTGAAAGACTAAAAATATGAAGATGATAGAAAAAGAAACAACATGGTAAAAGCCTTATAATATTCTTGAAATCAATTACTGAGTAATGATCATAACTTAATATCTTATTTATTTTATTTATATATATTGACATTAATTAATTGAAAGATGTATTAAAATGTTATCTTTTTGTAAACTAATTTATTTTAAAGGTTAAATATATTTTTAGTCCCAAACTTGAACCTAAACATAAAAATGAATATGTGTAGTTCTTTTAACCTAACAATGTTAAATTATTTTTATGTATTAAATGACTTTTCAGGCTAACATTTGAACTAGAATGTATCAAATAGTATAAATAGTTCAAACGTTAGCATCAAACATCATTTGACCCATAAAAGACAAATTTAACAAAATTGGGTTAGATGGACTATTGATAATGGTGATTTTTACCATTATATGAGCCTCGTTCTATTGACAAAATTAGCTCTTTTATAGCTTATAACTTGCTTTAATCTTCACTTTTATCTTTCTTTGGTAAATACTTTTATTTTGGGCTACATTTTTGTAATTATATCTTTAATCCCCTCTTTTGATTCTATTT